GGTCAGGCCAGGAAGGGAAGCGAGCCTGTTCAGGATTAGTGCAAAACTAGATGAGAATCAGGCAATGCAAAACTAAATGAGAAAAAAAATGCAGTATGTTATATCCTTCTATCTGGAAGCAATTATGTTTGGTACAACAATTGCTTGAACAGAAGGCTGAATGAGTTTATAAATAATGATTTCAAAGTGTTTTGTGATAACAGTATGAAGCTGTAACTGGATCCGACAGCCACCTCTATTAGAAATGTGGTTAGTTCAAAGATACTCTTCTCTTGTTAAAATTAGCTATCACAAAATTATGGCACTGCAACAGAGGACTAGAGAAATAGAATGCAATGCAATAGAAAAATAAGAAACATCTTTTCTTCTGCTACCCGACAAAATTACTCTTTCATTTCTCCTTGTGACTTTTTCAGAATGTCAGAGGACTGTTTATTCCCACTTAAGGGACAGGGAGAGGGTGGCAGGGAGGTGGAGAGAGGGATAAGAAGAGAAGGAGAATCAGTTACCCTGGAAACAGCTCCAAAGGAGGGAGCCAGAGGGATCAGATGCAGAGGCTCTGTGGTCCCTCTATGCCACGTTGTCCTTCCCTATTCAGGTGTATCAAATTCAGTTCCATGGGCATTTATTGTACCCACCCTTGTGCTAGTTGTCATGTAGAATGCAATGGTGAGAGTAACGATGAGGACGACGATTGGAGGTCAGATTATCACTGTCCCTTTAGTGTTTGCCCACACCAGGCCAGGCTAAGCATTTCCCAAATGTAAGCCCTTCGTGTCCCAGTCACCACCATAGCCTCTGGAATCTGGGTTTAAATCCTGGCCCACTTCAGTGAGTTATTTGACCTCTCCAGGTCTTATGTCCTTATCTGTAAAATGGAGATAATAATTGTACCAGGCAAGAAAACTGTAGTAGGTGTAGCTCAACAGAAAGAATTTAATAGAAAGAACTGGTTTCACAGGTGTTAGAGGGCTGAATGAGAGGGAAGGGCAACCACAGAGAGTAACTGTAGGAAGCAGCTCCCATTTCTAAGGCTGGAGAAAAGGGAAGAGGCTGGGACCATCAGAAGCTGGACACATGGAGGAAGTGACCTACTGCTGAGTTTTCAGCAGCCTGGTGAGGCTGGTTCTAGAGCGTGGAAGAGGCTGGGACCAATGGTTGATGGTGGGTGAAAGGCTGTGGCTGGAGGGGATACTGAAAGGAAATAATGGCAAGCAAACAGAAAGGAGGACATCTCCCCTCTCCAGCCTCAGTCTCCCCCTACTGCCCTCTATTGACAGGAATTAATAGAAAACCTGCTGCTCCCAAAGAACTGGTTTGCAGAGTACCAACTCCAGCCATAAACCAGCGTGTAGAAAGGTAGATCCGGAGCCGAGGTAGATAGCTTACTAACCAGCTCAGTATTTCATAGAAACACAAAAAGAGTATTACTCATATTATTAACTATTAAGTGAGTTAATGTTTATAAACTCCTAGAACCCTGCCTGGCATGTGGTAAGTGCATTACAATGAGCTTAAAAAAAAAACAGATGACTACGTTGCTCCACCAAAAACCAGTGTGGGAAATAATATTAGCATACCAGTTTTTAATCCAGGAAAATGACATGGTTTAAAGAGGTCACATAAAATGCCCAGGGTCACACAAGCTGGTCACTGGTGAACTCAGGACTATCTGAATGAAAAGCTGTTGCTTTGACTTCTGTGAGCCTCCTGTGAGGCTCAGAGAAAAAGGGCACATAAATAAATCACTTCCCAGTGAGACGGACTATAAAAGTGCAAGAGGAGACATATACAGATAAAGTTTGGGGAGCACGTGGGAGAGAGGCGAGCCGCTGCAGGTTGAGGAATCTGAGAAGACTTGCCAGAGGATGTGGTGTTTGACTGAAGCTGAAGGGCGGGGCTTCAACTGGCAGGTGTTGGGAGCAGAAGAAACTGCTTGAGCAAAGACCCAGAATGCAGGGCCTGTATGCGGAGTGGCGAGTATGAGGACCGGGGGGAAGTAAATGTTCCTCACCATCCGCTTTCTGTGTAAACAACAGAGTTGAAGTGTCTCCAAATATTCCTAGCAGCGATGTGAATTAAAGAGTTCGCCACATTTGTAACACGTTGTGTAGAATATTATACATTTGTGAAGCAATGGGATTAGCTGGAAAATAATTATTTTAATGCACCTCCATTTTTAAAAATGCATAGGGAGGCTCATTAAAATCTCCTTACAAGAGACCAGTGGTCTTGTTTCAAGGCAGTCAAACGAGCTAAAACCCTAATTTGAAGCTGCTTTCCTGCCCTTTTACCAATGTACCAAATTTGTACTAAATGCAAGGGGAATATGGGAACTCTGACCAGGGAGGATGGGAATGGGATTCCTTTCCTGCCACCCCAGGAAGCAGCATTACAACCATAGCAGAAGTCAGTAGATGGGATGTGAAGGCAGAGAGACCAAGACAAATTATGGAGACTCATCAGGTCTGTCTAGCGCTGGACCAGACCACAGGGCTGGCTTGCTAAGGAAGTCAGAATAGCATGGAGCTGAAGAAGTTCTGAAATAGTTCCGTGGCTCTGAACCTGGCCTCTGTAATCCTGTGTTGAGGTCTAAAAGTAAGGAATGTGCCAGGGAAACCAGAGATGGAAACCACACATGCCAATAATAATAGTTAACCGTTTCTGAGCATCCACTCTACGCCAAGCACTTTCATATAAAATGAGTATTATATCCAGACTGGTCGTTACTAGTCCCCAGGAATCATTCTCCCCTTCCTCCTTTTAGTAGTAGACTCCCCTACTGAGCTTTAGCAGAGGGGATATATGCCTTTCCTGCTAGAGAAAATACTTCCAGACTTCCTTGTAGCTGCTGTGACTGTGTGACAGGTTTCACCAGCAGAACGTGAGTAGGTGTAATGTGTGCCATTTCCGCATCATTTCCCTAAAGGAGTGCCCTCCACTTCCTCTTTTCCCTTTCCACTGGCTGGGATGCTGCTGTGGTGGTATTCGTGCTTCCGTGGAGAGGAGACCAACACCCTGGAGAAAGAACCTGGGTCTGTAGAACAGAGCAGCCCTCTCCTCTTGTCACTGCCTTCCGCTGCCCCACCTGGTGAACCTGCCTTTAGAACCTTTCCTTAACTTGGCCAAAGATCAAACACATGCAAAAGAAAAACAATATTGTTAGATTTACATCTGGGTTAAGAGAATATAGGCCACAGGTGAGAGAATCTTAGACGTAAGCTGTACGCGCTCTAGTGAATAGATTGTATAAAAATTATATTGGCTTATTTGGGAACCTTTGATTACATCCTGGTTTCTAGTTAAGTTTCAAATGACTGAGGTTACCTATTAAATGTGCTCCAGGCGAGACAACGGTCATTGTATCGAGGAAAGGCAGACTATTCAAAAGTTCTGGACGATTTGTTATGTGTCAGGTACCAAAGATGGAAGCACACACATACATACACACAGGCACGCGCGCACGCACACACACACACACACACACACAGTCTACCCTCAAGATGTTTGTCGACTGGTGGGAAGTTTGGCAGATATAAAAACAGTGTTGAGAGGAAAAGTATCAGTTAATACTCTTGGCTGTAAGCAACCAAAAATCTGACTCAAACTGGTTTAAGAAAAAAAAGGATCATTAATGTGTTTATATAAGTGTACAGTCCAAGAGTAAACCCGACTTCAGGCATTTAAACCCTACTGAACTGGAATCTTTGTGGCAGGGGCCTGGAAATCTGTATCTTGGTCCCCATCCCATCCCCCCACCAGGTAATTTCAATTCTGTTTTGGAAAGTAATGTTTTATATAGATAATTGAGCTGCGTATTGGAGATTGGACTGGAAAGGGGAGAGAGTGAAGGAGGAGATGATTGTTTCTGAGGGAGAGGAGAGAATCCTGAATCCAGGCAGGGGCAGCCCCGAGTGCCACAATACCTGCTTTGTACTTAGAACAAAGCCAGAGTGCACATTCTGAAGGCTGCTTGCACGGGAGGTTTGAAGGGGAACGAGTAGAGGACCATGTCGTTTGTCCAGCAGTCTGAGGGTTCACAATCCTCATGAAAGTGGCTGTCACTTCCGTTCCTTCACCCAACTACTATTTATTGTGCAACTATGTACCAGGCACCGAGCTAGAAGTGAGGATACAGGTTTATAGGCAAAGAGCCTTTCCTCACGAAGCTTACATTCTAGGGGAAGACAGACAATAAACAATTAGAAAAACGAGCTAACTACTGGCTGTGTTAAGTTTTAAGAATGGAAAAAAATCCTTCACTACTTAGTCCCTAGTGGAGGCTGACATTGGATGGAGTGGAGGAGAGGCCTTCGAGTTGACAACTTAGTGGAGACTTGAGAGCATGAGCATTCCAAACAGAGGCAATAGCAAGTGCAAAGGCCCTGAGGTGAGAGGGAATTGGATGGGGTGGAAACACAGGAAGGAGCAAGTGTGGCCAGAGCTCAGTGAGAGGGAGACTGGAGTGGGATGAGGCTGAAGAAGTTGGCAGCAGCCAGACTACAGGATAACCTGTGGGCACCAAAAAGAGTCAGGATTTTATTCCACACACAATGAAATGTTTGTGTCAAAAGGAATTTCCTGGCTACTGTGTGGAAAAAGGGTAAAATTAAATTCAAGGCTAGATGGACTCCAAGGTTCTTGCCTGGTCCCAACAATTTATGGCAGGCTCCGTGGGGTCCCTAGGAGCCTGCTTAGTAACTGGGGACCCTATATCAGCGATGTCTGATAGAACTTTCTGCCAAGATGGAAATGTTCCATACTTGGGCTCTCCAGTCCCAAAGCTACTATGTGCAAGTGGCTCTTGAGCACGTGATATGTGGCTAGTGTGACTGAGGAGCTAGAATTTAAATACTATTCCATTCAAAGTAATTTGTTTAAAGGTATGGAGCCACGTGTGGCTAATGGCTGTTGTACTCGTTAGCACAACGCAACACAACACAGCGCTGGGTGCCTGAGGGTTTCTACTCGTTATCCAGAAGCCAGGGCCTTCTCCAGATGGTGGGACTGTAAGAGGGTACATTGATTCCTAAATGCTAAGCCCCCTCTGTGCGTATGGCTTGTCAAGACGGACAGGCTCCGGGAGTATCCTACGCTTCATTTTGTCACCGGGGAGGTAAGTGCACACGGCTGTGAGCCGCTCCTCGCGCGCCCTCAGGGGAGGCCCCGCACTGCGAACAAAGGTTTCTGGACCGCTCTATCCAGGACGCACCAACCTTGCGCTCTCGCGGCCGCCGGCGCGGTCCAGCCATTGGCAGGAGAGGTATAACGGCCCCGCAGCGTCTCGCCCCGCCTGCCCCGCAGCCCGGCCGCGTAGACATCAGCTCCGGGCGCAGCACAGGTGGGCTGGGGAAGCAGGGGACCTAGGCGAGCTACCGAGCGGGGTTGGAGGTTCGGGGACCCCTCGGCGCGCAGTCGTCTTTTCTCCTCTTCGCGGATGGGGGCGTGGGTGGCGCGGGCTGTGGCCCGCACCGGATCGGCTTCCTGAGCTTGCTTTCGCTTTGCCGGGGGCTTGGCGAGGCCTGTGCACCGCAAGCGAGCAGAGAGAGCCGCGCAGGTGGCCGCGCGGGAGGGGCGGGGAGCTGGCGCCTTACACCCTGCGAGACCCCTGCCCTCTCCCGGAGCACGCGTCCCTGGCACCGGCTCGGTGCCCCGCGGCGCGCGTGGGTCCTGGCTGGCCGGAAGGCGCCCCTGACCTTGGTGTCTCCCCGTGCCAGGTCTGCGCAAGGGCCATGGGCGCCGCGCTGGGCACGGGTGCGCGGCTGGCTCTCCTACCCGGCCGGGCCTGCAGCGCTGTCCGGCACTGGGAGCCCCCCGCGCCCGCCCGAGGCTGCCACTCCAAGGCCGGCCCGGCGCGCCCGGTGCCCCTGAAGAAGCGCGGATACGATGTCACCAGGAACCCGCATCTCAACAAGGTAAAGGTCCGGAAGGGTAGGACGGCCCAAGCCACTATTCTGCGGCCCGCGGGATGGGCGCCCCGCCCCCTGGGCCAGGGGAGGATCCTTCCAGAGGCCCTTCCAGCGGCTTTACATTTTTGCCTTGGGGAGGCTTGGTGTAACTCGGTTTGGCTTTTTTACCACACCTCTTCTGCGTGGAAAGTGGTAATCAGTAATGCAGGAAGCCTAATTTCTTTCGTAAGAACAAATATAGACTGGGTTAAGGTCCTCATGGCCAGTCTGACTTGAGGTCAGATCTCCCCTTGATGCTTGCTGATTCTGTTGATCTTGGGCAGTTCATTTAACCTCTGTCCGTCCAAGTTTACCTGTCTGTAAAAGCGAAGCAGTTGTCTCGGGAGCGTTGTGAGATTTAAAGAGAAAATGGAGGTAGCGTTCTTCGCACAGTACCTGACATCCAGTGAGAACAAATGTCAGCTAAGGTTATAATTATTCTGAGGAAAAGATTTTTAATTTGAGCGAGGGCAAGAAAGTCTAGAATTAAGGAATGTTTAGACCTTGAAAGGGCATCACAGATCCTAATTCAAACCTCTCCTTTTACAAATGAGAAAACAAGACAAAGGGAACTTGCCCAAGGTCACCAGCTAGTTCGTTCTGGCTCTGCCACTGGAATCTGGGTCTGGATCTCAGGTGCTTGGGTCAAGTTCAGCCCACTGCTAACCCAGTGTTTAGGAGCACACACACTTGTTTCTGGGAGTAGAGTTTAGTATCATTGGTGTTAAAACCAAGAGACCTGGATTTGAGGCCTGTCTCCCAACACCTCCTTGATTTAACTTGGGCATCTCATTTAATTTCTCTGAGGTTCAACTTTCTCCTGCTTAAAGTGGATATTATGACAGACCCACCATTCCTACCACATTCTGTTATTGTGACAATCAAATGCATTACTGAACTTGAAATCAAATTTTAAACTATATAAAGTGCTTGGTAAATAAGTAATTACTACAAAATAAAAGTTTGAATAATTTCTTTGAATCAGGATTGTGAAATTCAAGTGAGGAAGTACTTGTGAAAAAGGTGTTTTTGAGAAATAGGAACAATTATATAGATACTAAGTATTGTGATTATTTCCTGCAGAATTAATAGAAACTAAGAAAGAAAATTTTCTCTCAACCTCCATCTATCATACTACAATCCCTGCTTCCCCCCAGAGAAACCCGAGATCCTTTGTATATTACTACTTTGGGATAGGTAAGGTGTTTTACGAATTTAAATTTACTTTGGTAGCAAGTGTTAGAAAACTCAGCTCAAACTGGCTTAGCAAATAAGAGATTTCTTTAGCTAAATATCTAGAGGAAGAAAGGGTTTGACCCAGCAGTCCATATGGCATCCTTAAGGATGCAGGTTCTCTCTGGGTCTCTGCTCTGCTTTTGCAAGGTCAGCTGCATCCTCGGACTCCATCCAGTAGAGTCTTTCACCCGGATTCTGCCATAGTCCCCCGTCTCCTTTTTTCATACCACACCATCCAGGGATAGAAAGACATTTTCTTCTGGTAGCTCCTGTGGAAGAGAAAGGACACTTTCTCTGGAGCCTCAGAAAAAGAGTCTTTCTGTCTCATGGACTCTGATTGGATTCCCTTCCATCCCCAAACCGGTCACCATAATTTAAGTAAGTCAGGGCTCACCCCTGGATTTAAAGACAGAGTTTAGGTTAGGGACACCCATACCAACTGGCTTAGAATAAAGGGGATATGGCTCCCCACCCTGCCCCCCAGTAAATCTGTGTATTGTCATCAGAGGGAGGAGGGATAGATGCTGGAAAGCAAAATAATAAACTCCCACTACTGACTGTGATTGTTCGAGCGATCATTGCTTTAGAAATACTGGCATATTATAGTTAGCACTTAATGCTTTATGAATAGTTAAAAAAAAATAAAAGGAGGACTTGAATGTCTCTTTTATTGTTTTTAGCCCTAAGTTTATGGTTCCCTAAAAGCACTCTTGCCCCTTGCCCTTGTTCTTGATGTAATTTTTTCCTCCTAAATAATATAAATGGGTCATTATCCATAAATCTAGGGGCCCGAACTTTTCATGATGTTAAAGATTTTTTTGTGTATCCCTGAAGTCAGCTGATGCTGGTCTGGGGTGAGGAGGGTATCTGGAGTGATGCTGAGAGAGGCTCTTGGCCTCCTGCATTCACCCTTGGGGAGGGAGGGGAGACAATGGAGGGAGCATCACTGCCTAGGAGCCGCCCCTCTCTTCCCACTGAGCTGCCACCCTCTTGCTGTCCTGCTGACCTCCGGCACTCAGAGAGTTTCCAGGGAAGGCTTGGCGCTTGGCACTTTCCATCAGCCAGATGGGGAGACTTGCTGAGTTAAACAGAACAACTGAGGTTATCACTGAGAAAACAAGAGAAGGGCAGCTTTGAAAGGGACCAGTACTTAGTGGGTGGGTCTGTGGGTGGATTTTTTTCTGCTAGACTCCGAGCTCCTCCAGGGCAGGGACTGAGTTTCATGCATTTGTGGCAGGCACTGGGTAGTTCCTGAAGGGTGTAACAAGGGGCATGAACATGAAAGCTAACATTACATTCTTCGAACATGTTCTCTGGGTTTGCCTCCCGCTTTTGACAGATCAGGAGAGGCATTTCAGTTGAAGCTTGAGGGCAGAGGGTCGTCAGGAGATGGAATTCTCTGAGAGAAGAAGAGCTGCTGCACAGGCCAAGCATCACTGCTCTTGTGCAGTCAGGGTCTGGTCCCTGCTCTGCCATAACCTCGCCGTGCGATCTGTGCTGAATCTCATTAGCCTCTCTGCCCATGTCACACCACTGCTGTGAGGATCGCAGGGGTGAAATCATTTTGAAAACTGTACGGCACTAAGTATTAGGTGATCGTGTTGACAAGTTCCAGAATCAGGGTTGGAAGCTCCCTTAGATATGGCCTAGTCTGGAATTGTTGGACGTGAAATTAGCTTGGGTCTAACCAGCACTTTTATGTTAAAGAAATGGGTTAGAATAGAATGAAAAAATAGTAAATGTATTAAACTTAATAAAGATAAGTCTTATACCAAGTCACCATGTGAAATGCCAGTTTTTGCTGTGGATTGTCATTAAAAAAAAAAAAAGCTTTTGAAAACCATTGTTCTCATCCAGCATCTCATTTTCAGATGTAGAGACAGGCAGAGAAAGTCAGATGCCACAGAGATTGTCATTTGTTGCAGAAGTAGGCAGAGGAAGCCCACCTCCAGATTTTCAGTCCACGGAATCACAATGACAATTCTCATTCACATCTGCTTTGACTGATTCAGGCACATTCAGAACGATGACAGAACTGGAACTGGATGATTCCAAGTTCCCTACAGGAGTCTAGATTTTCTGATTGATGCAAATTCAGCAATACATCAATTTCAACTTCCCTTTAAAAAAAAAAAACTAATATTGTGCTTTTCTTCTAAAATTTACATAATGACCTCTTCTGTTATCCATGTAGATTGTGGCAACAGAGTAAATCTGATTACATATTACAAGACATCAGACATATTTTACTTACATTAAACAGGCAATTATCAACCCCATTTTATAGGGTATCTTCATTGGACAAATCATCCCCATCCTATTCATGTAGTAGCAAGTGAGCCATCAAAACGTTGCTGGCCCCAGCTTATCTCTGGCCTCTTTTGGGAAGGGATGTTCTATTCCCACTCCCCAAACTAGACTTGAGTCCCCTCCCATTTGTCTTCTCACTCCATGTTTCTTTCCTTTCGGCACTGAGCACCCTGTTGTCATGGCTGGTTGATTTGTCTTCCACACTAGATCCTGAGCACCTTGAGGACAGAGACTGTCTTGTCACACAATATTCTCTATGCCTGACTTGAGATGCTCAATAAATATTTGCTCTTTGAATGATCTCAATCGAGTCCTAACCCCTTTCCTCTCAATTTTATGGATCTTAATGTCACTGCTTTACAGTTAGCCTCAAGCTCTTGTTGTCTAGAGAAATGTCTACAAATAGCCTATTGGGAGGAAATACACCTACTTGACCTTGAAAGACCATCAGCTTGATGGTCAGGGAAAGAATGAATGAAGCGTACTTGGTCCAGTCGCTGTGATTATGGACCAGCGCATTTCATGCAGCGGGGCCTTCTTAAACTGCAAGGCGTGGTGACCGCCTTCACATGTGGACTAGATGCATGTAGATTAGTAAACGTGTTAAGGCCTGGGGGCCTGCACTACAGTGCTGGCTGCACATGTGAGGCCACGCAGGTTTTAGCTCAGTCCTTCTACATGCAGTGGTAATTTATTAGACTCCCACACAGCTGGGATTTGCCTTTGACTAAAGTATGTTTTTGTTCGGTGCCGGTGTAGACTTGATCTTGCCTCCTTTGGGTTGGGGGAGTCTGTCATCACACACTTGGCTTACTGATCAATCAGGAGGTGATGGCTGGGTTGTACACTGAACTAGAAGTCTGTTGCAGATGCTCTTTTGTGTCCCAAAGGCCGATAACATAATGTGTCTTGCTGAGACCTCTGCTTCAGGTGTGATGTTGGGTTGGGCCTCCTTGATTGATAAAGAAGCAATGCATTAAGTGAACATTATTTCCATAAGCAGCAGTTTGCTCTAGATCTAAGCCTCTTGTGCAGTGACTCAGGGCATCGAAGCTCAAATACTGTTCAGATATTTTAAGAACAAACAAGCAGAGGCAGGTTGGAATTAAATCCTTCCCTGTTGGGGCTTCCCTGGTGGCGCAGTGGTTGGGAGTCCGCCTGCCGATGCAGGGGACGCGGGTTTGTGCCCTGGTCTGGGAGGATCCCACATCCTGCGGAGCAGCTGGGCCCGTGAGCCGTGGCCGCTGAGCCTGCGCGTCCGGAGCCTGTGCTCCGCAACGGGAGAGGCCACAGCAGTGAGAGGCCCGCGTACCGCAAAGAAAGAAAAAAAAAATCCTTCCCTGTCAAATACTGTCCTGGCTTCATGGGATTGATAACACTTGGTGTTAGGGCTTTGTGCTTGGAACAGCTAAAAGAACTTG